CGTTAAAGTAACCATCACACCTGCCTTTCCAGCATGGACTAGATGGGGTAGAGGTCAGTGGGAAGAAGCAGGAGATGGGAATTCCAGTTCTAACTTCACCATTTCCACACTTGGGAATCCTATGATCATTCCTTGTCTGCATCTGGACTTCAGTCTCTCCCATTCAGAGCTGGAGGTATTGCCCTAATTCTCTTACAAACCACCGACCACCCTTTCAAAAACCTGGAACTTACCACAATAGAAACCAACAGTGTCTTTTTTTTTTTTTCTGAGAAATACAATTTTATAGGCATTCTGTTGTCATAGCAGCCACACATGAAAAGCTTTAAGGACCTGAACTGTAGTGGCCTTACACAAATGCCTCAGATGCTGATGTCCAATTTTGTCTTGTAACTAGCATAAAATTCTCGTGTTCCACCAAGAAATCTCCCCACTCCTGGAGTGAGAACTGTTCCACTTAATAATATTTTTAATTTCATCTCTTCTAACACTAAAATTCGACCAGCCTATGACCGTGTTTCTCAGAGAAAGATCCCTGGGGGCGGGGGGGTAGGGGGTGTAGTTTCTGTAATTTACACATCATGTTCCAGGTATCTGTTGCTTTTCTAATACAAACAGAATCTCTTGGCTGGTAAGAACACCCAGAAAATAGAGAAAGCATTGTAAGATGCTTAAAATACGCTAAGAAACAAATGCACCAGTGATAATTAATAAAGCATATCATCGAATAAAACAGGTAATTAACTATTATAATGGAAATATAAACAGGGCCTAATTAGCAGAGCTTTCCATTATTGTCTCTTGGCTGCAGACAGTCAACATTTGGTATGTTGCTATCACACCCATGTGCATAATTTCTCAGTTGATTTTGGCCCAACTGGCTGGGTAGTAGTCAAGATGTCCAAACCGTTGAGGGCAGTCACAATGCTGAAGTTTTGTATCCATACCATTTCCAATGAGCCAAAGACAACATGAGTATGAATTGGAAGTGTTCTATGTTATCAAACCAAGCTTCTTATAAGAATTGCCTTCATCTGATGTTTGTGTTCCAGCAGTTTCCGTAATTCCATAGAAACAACCTTTCACCCCACACTTTCCATTGCTCTAGAATGAAAAAGAGGCCGAGTTCCTCTGTTGGCTGCAGTCTGGCTTCCAAACCCATCAGTCTACCAGATCTGCTCAGGATAGAGCTTCCAATGACCACCATGTTGCCAAATCCAATAGACGTACTTTCCTCCTTATCCTTCTTGACTTCGTTAGTATTTTCACTCTGTTTACCACCCCCTCTTTAAAAACACACCCTGTTCTGTGATGCCCACTCTCCTGGTTTTCCTGCTTGCCTTGTGGTACTCCTTGTCCATTTACTTTGCCCACTTTCCTTCTTCCGCCCACTTGATGTGGGACGTCATTAGTGATCAGCCACATTTTCCCCTCCTTGAATAATCACCACAAACTCTCATACCCATAACAATTAAAATGAAACTGTTGTTTCCTTTACATTCTCACTGGCAATGACTTTGCCTCAGCTCCTGTCACTTGTCTCCTGCATTATTTCTACACCTTCCTAAGTTTTCTCCTTCTTTCTAGATGACATCCTCCACCCCCTTCAATTTGTTCTGTGCCAGTATTTCCAAATTGCAGGTTCGACTGCATTTGTTCTTTGTTTTCTGTCCTCTAGGCTTCTTTTCACAAAGTCATCTTGAGTATGAGGCAGTTAGGGTAGTTGATAACTCATCGGGCCTGAGTAAATCACTCCGGAGGTTGGGGTAATAGAGGCGATGGCTGCTGTCACAAACGTAGGCTTGCTTCCCGGGGGAAAGCCGTGCCAAGGCCAGGCAGGGGAAAGGGTGGCTCCCCCAGCATCTTCCAGGAGCAGGAGTTTTTTCCTGAACTATGACTGTCAAAATGCATTCTGATCATTAATAAACTGTTTTCTTGTCAAGTTTCATTCTGGCTTAAAAACGGTATTTGAACAAATACTACAAGTGGGGAGAATCAGTAATCACCAGATTCAAGGATACCAGGGAAATCATTGGCCCATATTTTCATTTTCCCACCAGCCTATCCCAGTGCCTGCTTCATTAGGACTAGATTAATGTGACACAAAACCCAAGGTAACAGGAACCTAGGTGGAAGCTGAATTCTCTCTTAAATAAACAAAGTCTAAAGGTAAGCCGCCCAGGGCTGCTGGGATGCTCCCTGGTCATCAGACACGGGCTGCTTCTGGCTTTCTGATCCATCACCATCAACACACTACTTTCGCCTCATGATCCTACCTGATTACCTGAGCCCCAGCCTTCATGTCTGTATTCCAGGCAATAAGGAAGGACATAACAGTTCAAACCACCTTCCATTAAGGACACTTCCTGGAAGTGGCACAGAGCACTCTCTTTGAATACCGTTGGTCAAAGCTCCGTGTCATGATCACTATAGCTACACCATATGAGGCAGATGTAATCTTTCTTTTGGGCAGTCGTTGTCTCAGCTAAGGAAGAGGTATTCCATAATTAAGGAAGAAGAGGCAAGTTCACCTATGAGAATACTATCAGCTTTTGCTGCAGCATCTGAAAAGTCTTTTGTTAGAGATGCAGACTTTTGGTTTGAAAGATTTTCAGCGACAGACCCAACTGTATTAGGTACCATCATGATTCCTCAGCAGACATTGGTTTGTCTCATCCATTGTAACATCAGGATCAAGGGGACATGAAGGCAAGAGGGAAGGTTACCAATAAGAGAGGAGTTATAAACCAGAGGAATAAGACAACACATAGATACCATTCACTTAATCATTTCAGGGAGGAAAGCTACCAAACAGAGAAGTTTGGACCAATCTTGGTCAGCTGTGTGGACTTGGAGTCATTTTTCCTCATCTGTAAAAGGGGGATAATTGGGCTATAAAATCATGAGCATGTTTTAAAACCCTGAGTACCTTGCCCTGATGGATAGCAGACATTACTCAATGTCTCTATGACTACAAATATTAGCTCGAACAAAAGTCACCAGAAGGAAACCAGGTTCTTAATGTAGATCCAGTGTTCCATTAGCCCAGTTGATGACAGTTTGCTAGTTGTTAGCTTCACGAAGGCAGAGGCAGGACCTTTTTGTTCCCCCATTGGACCCTTGGTGCCTGGTACAGCATCTGACATGTGATAGGTATTCAGGAAACATTTCTTGTACTAAATGAGTGAATGACCCAAAGGGATCTGATAAATTTTGCAGAAAATGGTTAAGTGATCCAGAGAGTTTGGTGGGGATGGGGAGAAGAGCTCATTAGCACACTTGATGCTGGCAAATATTCGGCAAAATGGTGATTTTTTTTTAAACAACCTTGGGAGTTTGACACTTTTTTTATTTTGAATATGGAGTTTTTAAGTTCTTACTTGATGTTTTGTAAATTAGGATGGGACAAAAGTGTCAACTGGAATTGATTTAATTAATTGGGGGAACAAAACACAATCAGAAAAATCTGTTACTTGGGCTCATTAAATGACGCACATGAAGAACTGAAAGCCCCGTGAGCTCTTGGCAACTTCCTCCAGGACAGATTGTTTTCCCCTTGAATTAAACAAATGTAAATGTTTGTAAAATTCCTGAGACAATATGGTGACCACATGAATAAAGTCAGTAAGAGCATTCTTTTTATAGGTTGTGGTGCTCTGTTAACGAGATATTTATGGTGTCAGTGCCATCATTCCAGATTCGTTACAGAACATTTAATATCCACCTGGACATTGCATCATGTAACCCCTGGAATATGTAAATATTTCTCACCAGCAGTACCAACAGCTCATAAGGCAGCAATACCTTGTAATTCTCTTTTTTCATTTTATAAGAAAATCATATATATCTGTCATCAGATGTACATTTTTCACATGCACCTCACTTGTCCCACATTTATATTAGCCTTCTGTGCCCTAGTAATCATTATAACAAAGACAGAATCTCCATCAATGACTCAGATATACAAGGAATATCATTTTATTTTTCTATATATTGCCTTGGTTACCATTTTGAGTCTTCTTTCCACAAGGGTGGAAGAAGCTTAATCTCCACCAATTTAGGATCTTCCCTCCTTCCCCAGGGTTGCTGCTAAATTCTAAGGATGAGAGTTACACAGTGTCAAGGCCATCAGAGGAGGTTCATCTGCTCCAGCGTTGCCTCCTGTCCACATAGCAGATGCTGTGGGTGTCTCCTCCCTAACTGTCCAGGCTTCTTTGGGAAGAGTGGTTCATCAGTGAAGGGAAGTCCTCCTGAGAAGGATCCAAGTGTGAGCTTTCAGCAGCTAGATGGGAGCAGCAGCCAGGTAAGAGAACCAGCTTGCTAACTGTTCAGGTCACTGCTGCGCCAGCCCCTGCTTCTGCTCGTAAAGCATCTTCTGATCTGGCAGATGCTGTCCTGGTTCTGTGCCACTCTGGGTACCAGGGGCCCTCCTCCTGGAGTGTGGTGAACCTGATGAGGCTGCTAAGACCCCGTTTGCTGAGACGACCTTTTCTGGAATCTTGCTTCTGCATCGGAACTCTGCCTAGCAAAGTTGGGGGAACCTTGCCTCGTGGTCCCAAAACCCTATCTGGGGAAAGTGTCATCCCCTTTCCAGGGCTCAAGCTAGAGTTGGAGGTCATACAGGTCAAAGGAATGAACGTGCATCTTAGCGTTCATGGCACACCTTTGACACTTCTCACCTCTCCTGAAATTCTTTCCTAATTTCAGGGGCAAAAACCTTGCTCTACTGGAATACGTTTTCTCCTGAATTTGTTGTCTATACCATGCGTCTTTTCTCTTCCTTCATTGTCTTGGCCAGTGCTGTTCAATTGAGATACAATGTGAAGCCATGCATGTAATTTTCTAGTAGCTACTTTTTTTCGAAGGAAACAAGTGAAATTAATACTAAGAGTATATTTTACTTAACCCAATAAAATATCATTTTGACATGTAATCAATTCTAAAACTTAATGGTGAAGTATTTTACATCCCTTTTTTGTACTAAGTCTTTAAAGACCAGTGTGTAGCGTGTACATACAGCACACAGCCTGGCCACATTTCAGGCACTGAGTAGCCACTTAAGGCTGTTAGCTGCCATACTGGTCAGCACAAGTCTGTGTCCTGAGTCTTCCTTTCTATTTCTTTGTTGTCTGCCTTTAGGAGTGCAATTTTTTAAATCTGCTTTTCTGTCAGTTCACTTATTCCCTGAGGCAGTGAACCCAGAACAGATAACTTCCCAAATGGGAAATGCGGTTCTGGGATAAAAAGAAACACTTCGAGAGGGATGGAGGAACAAAGAGTAGTAACTCATAGATGTTATCCTGCCATTGTTTATTGATAAATTATTGATAATTTATTTATAGTAAACTTAACATTTATTACTTATTATATTTTACTATATGTTATTGTTACATTGATAAGGTACATACTACTGTATGTTAACTATTAAACACTTATGTCATTCTGTTATTTATTGAGTGCCTACTATGTGCACTTTATAAACCTTATTTCTAGGACTTTCATCAACCCTACACAGAAGGTATATTCAAATTTATCAACTGAAGACACAAGCTTATAGATGTTAAGTAACTTGAACATAGGGTTGATGGAGCCAGCACTTTAAACCCAAATCTTCCTGGTGGCCCCCAAATCCTTTGTCTCTCCCACTGAGCCATATCAACTTCTTTCTCTTCTTGCTTGAGCTAGCTTTGTTTCTCCCCCACATCATGACTTTCGTAGAGCATGTAGGACTAAAGACTGCCTTCTGCCCCTTTGTGACTTTGGTTGAATTAGCTCTCAGAGTCAACCACCAGCAAACCCAGCAAGCCGCGGAGCAGCTGTCAGAATGGCTGGTTCCACCCGTGCTTGCCCTGGCCTTTGCCACCATCTCAGAGCAGGGCCACCACTGCCTCCCATGTCAAGAGAACCTTCATTTCTGATAAATGACGGTGGTTGAGATTGAAAAATTCCTGTCCAGCCTTTGGCAGCAAGCTGCAGGTTCCCTGCCTCAAACTGACTGCCTACAGTTCACAGGCACAATTGGATGTGAGCACTGGGTTCTCAGCCATCACTCAGGGCCCAATAGAGACCTGACTTGGGGTTTTAATCCTGCCTTAATCTTTTCTATAATAATTTTCATTCTTTATCTGAAGACAGCTATTTCTTTCTATTCCACTCTGTGCTACACAGATCGAGTTTTCTTATTTCCTTTTTTAGAGAGGGCAGTCCACCAAGTGCAAAGGGCTGCTTCAACTACTTGCTTCGCTTTTGTTTAACTCTTGGGTTAGTTTCCAGCATTTGGATTTGATTTTCTCCTTCTTATTAACAATCCTGGGTTAGATCACTTTTTCATTTACATACTACTATATAAATGATTTTTTGTATATCTTACTCATTTTTAGCAACTTAAGGGAAGAGATCTTATCTTAGCAACTTTGTTTTCCTTTTTTCAACACCCGTCATGTAACATATAGTTATCTGGGGGAGGGTACAGCTCAGTGGTAGAGTGCATGCCTAGCATGCATGAAGTCCTGGATTCAATCCCCACCCAGTACCTCCATTAAAAAAAAAAGAAAAACTAACTAAATAAACCTAATTACCTCCCCCTACAAAAAAAATCTATTCATCTATCTATATCTATATTTATATCTATACACACACACACACATACATACATACATACATATATATAGTTATCAAGCCCCTCCCAGGGACAGGCCAGCCCCAGAAGATACAAAGAAGGACACAATTTGGTCCTTACCCCCAAGGAGCTTAAAGTAGTGTTTCTTAAAATGGAATCAGTTTTATAGGAAAAAGGGATTCCTTGGGCAAATAAATTTGAAAAACACTGTATTAAATTAACAGGACCTTCACCCTTGAACACTGCAGGCTTTCTCAGAGCCTTTAATATGCTAATGTACGCCGTGAAGCTCCACAAGGGAGGATAAAATATGTAGTGTTTCCTGAAGTGTTTTGACCATAGAACTGTTTTTATGGGGTGTCATCTCATGGGACAAGTGTTTTATGAAACGTGCTTTAGGGAATGGTGGCTTAGAGGCAGGGGGAGAGACATGGAAAAGCAATTGAAATAATGTCAGCTGACGATTATGGAATTCTTACTCTGGGCCAGGCTTTGTGCAGATGCTGAGAAAAGGAAACCCTCCTGAGAGAGGGCAAGAGGACATCACCAGGAGGGGGCTCTTAAGCTGCTGATTGAAAGATTGAGCAAAGACTTTCTTATAGAGAGCTTTAAGACTGTTGAGAAAATGAGTTTAAAAGATATATCTGTATACAATTTGATATATACTATAATCATAAATTGTAATGGCTTTTTTTGTTTCTATGTTCAGGATCCAATTTGTAAATAACTCAAAATGGAATTGTGCTAGTCTGAATAATGACCCCCAAGATGTCCATGTCCTAATCCCCAGAAGCCATAAATATGTTGTCTGATATGGCAGAAGGGACTTTGCAGGTGTGATTGAGTTAAGGATCTTGAGGTGGGAAGATTGTTCTGGATGATCCAGGTGAGCCCAGTGTAACCACAAGTGTCCTTATACGAGGGAGACAGGAGATCAGAGAGACAAAAGTCAAAGTGAGCACAAAAAGCAGGGAAAGATTTGAAGAGGCTGCATGGCTGGCTGTGAGGATGGAGGAAGGAAGACACAAAAACCAAGAGGTGTAGGCAGTCTCTGAAGCTGCAAAGGACAATGAAGTAGATTCTTCCCTATTTCAGACTTCTGACCTCTAGCACAGGAAGATAATTCATTTGCATTATTTTTAATCCACTAAGTTTGTGGTGTTTTGTTACAGCAGTTGTGTAGCAATAGCAAACTAAGGCAGGAATATATTTTTTATTTATTTTTAAAACCATACCCTTAAAAATAAATAGCAACTCCAAATAGCTTTTGTTTGTGTGAGTTAGAGCCACCAATATTTGCTGTGAGAAATTCAAACTAAGATTGTGTTAAATAATTATTAATGTGTTTAAAGTAGCAATAATAAGCTCATTCCATGTTAATAAAAACTGCATGTTTTTGTTTTTTTAAAACTATACTTTCCCAAAAAATTAGAAGAGTGGCATTTTTGCAATTTTTTGCAATTTTTTGAAATCACTAGCTTAAAGGAAAACAGCTGGGTTCTCCTAACTTCTTCCTTCAATCTGTGATAGTATCACATGTCGTGTAGCCTCTGGAAAACTCCGCGGTATACTCATGAGAGAATATGAATAAAAGGGCAAATAGTATCTTAATATTATCATGAAAACAGTTTTGATCTCACAGACCCCCCTGCAAGATTCTTCAGTGGTCTCCAGACCACGCGGTGGGAACCCTTGATACAGAGAACTTCTGTGTCTCAGGTGCTCTGTGCTGGATGGGCAGTCTTACTTAATCCTCAACAACGGTTGCATACGGTAGGCAGTAAAATTAACCCATTTTCCAGATGAGGACACTGAGATTTGGAAATAGTAAATATCTTGTCTCAGGCTACATAGTGATAGAGCCAGAATTCAAACCCAGGCAGCCTGACTCCACTGCCCGTGATGTTCCCCTACCTCTCCATGGTCCCCAGCTATCCTGACATATTCTTAATGGGCATCATTAACCCACGTGCATAGGACTCGCTCCTTTCTGCCTTTTCCTCATCCAGATTAGACCACATGCCAAGCGCTTCAGCCCTCTCATCACATTTTATTCGAATATTCACTTTTAAACTGTTAACAGTTTGTAGAATCATGAACCTGGAAGGCAATTCAAAATCTTCCCCTCTCTCCCCTCCATCCCCTCCCTCCCCCCTGCCTTGTTCCTGCGGAGAAACTGTGGCCCAGAGGATAAATGCCACTTGTACGTGATTAACACAGGTTACTAGCAAAGCCAGAACAGGGACTCGGCTCCCCTGAGGATTGAACTGTGATTCTCCCATGATACCATGTTACGTTGGATCCCATCACTCAAGCAAAGATTTGTAAACAGATGGGAACGTGAACAGTGTTGCACCCCTACTGATGGAGACCAGCTAGGAGTTTCTCACAAGCAAAGAGAGCCTTTGGGAGTCCAGGCGGGAAAGCAGCCTCATGATTTGCCTTTTGTTTCCCTTTCAAATTCCTGCTCCAGACTGAGGCCTCCACCCTCCCCGCCAGAAAAGAGGGAGGGGAATTTTTTTTTTTTTTAAAGAAGAAGACGACGATAAAGTGCCTTTGTAATAGCTCACACTTTATCTACGGCTTCCTCTGGAAGCCACCCATCCCTTCCCTTTAGATTGTAATAACTGGACCCTTTTTTAGTTTTTCTTATCAAGAGGGAAATAAGAAAAGAATTGCCTTTT